ATTCTTAGCCTACCTTTGAAAAAGAAAAAAAAAAAAATCAATAGGTTGATACATTGACCCTTTGGAGTACTTCATTACGTATTTATTGAAAAATTTTTTAATTGTTAAAATTGGGACCACTTTTTATAATTGGTTTCAAGAAAAAATAGGACGGATGCGGAGGCTCACGCCTGTAATCCCAGCACTTTGGGAGGCAGAGGCGGGTGATCACGAGGTCAGGAGATTGAGACCACCCTGGCTAACATGGTGAAACCCCATCTCTACTGAAAATTACAAAAAAAAATTAGCCGGTCGTGGTGGCAGGCGCCTGTAGTCCCAGCTACTCGGGAGGCTGAGGCAGGAGAACGGCGTGAACCCGGGAGGTGGAGCCTGCAGTGAGCGGAGATCGCGCCACTGCACTCCGGCGTGGGCAACAGAGTGAGACTCCTTCTCAAACAAACAAACAGACTTCCAGTGCTTTTGTGTTCAAATAATCTCCGATTCAAATTTCAGTTTTGTTTGTTATATACTTTTTGTGAGTGTTAAATGATATGGGAAGGATTTGTCTTACAGTAACCATATGGAAAAGATGTTTTTCTGAATTACATAGCATTTCATAGTTACAGATTCTTCCTAATTAATGTTTGCACTGTATGAAACTTATAGGTAACAAACACAAAAGAGAAAAGCAGCCTGATTGCTTATAAGTTTTTTTCACAAAATCAAATTAAAGTCTCTGGTTCATTTGAAAGCTATTTTTGTTTCTGCTCCATCATTATGCTGGTATTCTGCACGCCAATTAATAGTTACAAGAAAGTTGTTAGTGGAAAAGATTGCCTATACTCACTGGCGATTTCACACCATCTTTGTTCATTTTTGTCATCTTAGTTGTACTTTATAGTTTTTAACTTAAGCTATTGCATTGGTTTTCTACTGTTGCTGTAACAAATTACTACAAACTTAACAACTTAAAGTACAAATTATCTTATTGTTCTATATGTCAGAAACCCAGCAGGCTTAGCCGGTTTTTCTGCCTCAAGTCACACAAGCTGGAAACCAAAGTATTGATAGGGCTGGGCTGTGGAGGAGAATCTGTTTCCAAGTGCATTGAGTTGTTGGCAGAATTTCGTTCCTTGCTGCTGTAGGATTGAGGTCCTTGTTGCCTTTTTGGCTGTTGGCTAGGAATCATTTAAAGCTTCTAGAGGCCATCATCATTCCTTGGCCCATGGCTCCCTTCATCTTCAAAACCAGCAACAAGTGGCTTATGGTTTGGATCTCTTCTTCCTTCTCTTCAACAACATGTTTCTGATTTGCTGAGACTGACTTTACTGCTTTCCGTTTTCAATTTTTAAGGGCTCGTGTGATTAAGCTGGGCCCACCTGGACTGTATGCTTTTTGAAAAACAGACTTTAGCCCTCATGAAAAAGACGAATGCAAACATATTGAAATCAGGATATACAGGTAAAGATTTCAATTCGCTTTTTCTAAACTTGAAGGAAAAGAACGGATTTGTTTTTATTAGTGAAAATATGTTTTATTTCCTAAATTGCATAGATAATAGATGCTTCCTATAGGAAATTTGAAAAGTGAATGAAATTTTAAAAATCTGAGAAGAATCTCACCCATAATAAGAGGCAGCTACTTCTTAGTTTTGTTATTATATGTTCATATTTTTCCTCTTCCGTTTCTTCCCCCTAGAATATACTTTTAAAAGTTTTGAAGATTTGCGGGAGAGGGCCTGGTCAAGAAGGTTGCTGTGCAATCTTAGAAATCTTAGAAGAGTGAGTATATCACAGAGGAACTCAGAAGTGGGAAGGGAGGTCTTGGGACATCTTAAGGTTGCTGGAGGGCCTGGCGTATATATCAGTGAGTTTATGAATAGGCCAGTGTTAAGCCTCTGTTACAGTAAAGTGCTTTATTATGCTGCCTTTTACCTGATGATGCCATTATCTTTAGTTTTATACAAAATTGAAAATAAAATGTAAACTTAGTCTTTCCATTGAAGCTTTATGCTCAGGGTTTCTGGGAGACAGATGATATCTGCTTAGAATATCACTGAAGTCTTAGTCATGGTGTTTACATTTTGAAATCTTGCAGATTAATAATGTGAGAAATATATTTTTGATGCTTTGATTCCAAGAATGGAGGAAATGGGACTGATATTAGTGAAATAGAAACATAACTGCATTAAGTATGGATAGAAAGGATAGAAAAACAATCATTTTTTTCTAAAAACCTATACCATATCAATAAATAATAAGTACTAGTTTATATTAGACAAAATAGCTTATTCTTCAGTATATGCTATTTAATAGGCTTTTAACACTGAACGTTTTCTGTCTACGTAAAAAAATTACTTAACAGCCATTCTATCAAGTCGTACAATTTGAATTTTAAAAATGTATTTTTGTTTCCAGCATCTTCCAACTTCAGAAAAAGCCAGGTACAAAAATGACACCACTAATACCATAGTGTGTATTAAGAATTTTAGATTACTTTTATATTATTACATTGTAGCATAACAACTACCCTGTGAAGTAGATAAGATCAGAGTTATTAGCTGTTTATTATTATTATTATTATTATTTTAGACGGAGTCTCGCTCCGTCATCCAGTCTAGAGTGCAGTGGCGTGATTTCAGCTCACTGCAACCTCTGCCTCCTAGGTTCAAGCGATTCTGTCTCAGCCTCCTGAGTAGCTGGAATTACAGATGTGCACCAGCACACCCAGCTAATTTTTGTATTTTTAGTAGAGACAGGGTTTCACCATATCGGCCAGCTGGTATCGAACTCCTGACCTCAAGTTATCTGCCCACCTCAGCCTCCCAAAATACTGGGACTACAGGTGTGAGCCACTGTGCCCAGCCTAGCCCTGTTTTAATAATGAGGAAATTGAGATGTAAAGAGCTGAGTCAAATTAAAACAAGGGACCATGTAATGAGGTGGAAAGTGCAGGGAACAAACCTATCTGAGTTCAAATTTAGTCCCGCTGTCACTCCAAGATTTAAAATGCTTAGTGGCTTGGTGAAGTGGCAAGAGTGATGTATGGTATATGATTCTCTGTTGGACAGGATTATTGCATGAAAGATTTCTGCTCAGCATAGTCATATACTCTTCTTGCCCACAGACCATACTTAGCCTTGTCTTCTACAATGCCTACTCTAACAGTTATGTTCCTGGAGAGCAGGAGAGGGCTGCAAATGCCCCTCACTGGGTAATAGTTTTAGTTCAGGGGGTCCAAGCAGAGTTTGGTCTCTAGTCTAAGCAGAAATATATTTCCAATCTTTAGTACAAGCCTTCATTTCATCTCCCAGAAAAGAAGTCTCAAAGCCATTCCCTAATTCTCCTTCTCTCTCACCAATACATCTAATTAGTCACCAAGACATTCTCTTTTACCTCTGTAATACCTCTAATGGGGCTCCTGTACCATATATTTCTGTTGCTGCTGTCTTAAGGTATAATGCCTTTTGCCTAGAATATTGCAAAAACAATTCACCTCTCCTTTATTATCCATATTGGTGATTGCTTCCCATCCCCCAAATATCTGGCATTTTCTTCCTATCCCCCAAATAACTAACATTTTTTTCCTGCTTAACCCTTAAATGACTCCTTAATCTCTAGAGGAAAAGGTACAAGTGAAGTCTGTCACATTCTAGCCCCACTTTGCCCCACTGCAAGCAGCTCTTGCCATTTCCCACCAGACATTCTCCACTCCATTTACTATGAATTTCTTCATAATCACCAAAGCGAGCATGGATCTTCCATCTCTGTGCCTTGTCTAATAAATAAACATATTTAAAGACCAAGCTTCAGTGTTACCTTCTCTGTAAAACATTTTTTAATCCTTTAGCTGTTCCATTGATATCTTGTTTAATTATGTTATTTGTAATAATCTCTACAGATTTCCTTCTCTAAAGTCTGAACTTTTTGAATATCTTTGATTCGTGTCTTTTAGAATAAGCTTGGTCTTTATTGGCAAATGTCATTTGGAACATGTAAAGGAAAATAAAAGAACCTAGAAGCTTAAAAAGTCGCCTCAATATAAAGAACAAGGCCATGGAAACAAATTCCATCACACTTGTGAAGGCCAGAATCACCCTGCTTAAAGAACTGAGTGAAATTCTTCAGTTTTTCTGTGCTGAAAAAGCCACTTAAAAATTTGAAACTGTTAAATGCATATGTAGAATTTATTTCTCTTGACATGCAGTGCACCCCATTTAAAAAATGGAATAGATATTACAGCTCAGTTTTTAAATTTTTATTTAATTCCATATAAATGAAAGTACATATGAATGCTATTAGTTGAATAGTTATTTGGGCATAGACAAAATAATGACAATTGTTCTTATTTTGGACAAAAAGATGTTTTAAAGTAAGACAGCATATATATTATTTTGTTAAGTACATTTGGGCACTTCTTAAAATGATGGGTGAATTTAGGAATAAATTATTTTTTGGGAAACTATTCCCAAAAGAAACCAATGTGGAACAGTATTCATATGAGTTTATTTTTGTGATAAAGTAAAAGGACATTTATACCTTTTTAAAGACTGAGTCATAATTAAGATTATACCTTAAACTTGAGTATTTAAAAGACCTTGGTTACACTGTTTACTGTTCAGAATTAAATTATACCAAATTTGAATGCACAACATCTAGAAATTACAAACGCTCGTGTGCTAATATTAGAAGCAAACCAACCATCTGCACAACTGACTAGGTGCCATAAGGCATGATTTCTAACTTTGGATATGGCTCATTAAATAAGTGCTCAAATGCTAACACATACTGTTTCACATTCTCTTGAACTGGCAGTGAAGTAGATACTGAAATAGACATTGAAAGATAACCTTTTAGGAGTAAAACCAACATCTAAATGTTGAGGATTTGTTTTTATTTTTCTCTTTTAAGTTCAGAACGAAAGTTTCCAGATTCCACCATCTCTAAAATTTTGACATGTAAACTGAAACTGATGTAAGGCAGGACTAGGATCTTAGGACTGGTTCTCCCTTGTGCAGTCCGTAACATTTGATCGTGATCTTTCTAAGGTGACCAACTTTGATGCCTGAGAAAAAAGAAAAATATGCAAACATTTAAAAATATAGGACAATGAAACAGTTGAGTGGGAGATTTCTAGGGAATTTCTGATCCAGTTTAATATGTTTGTGTTCTTTTAAAATGTTGATAAAGCTGTGTAGAGAAGTTGGATAGCATAGTCACAAGAGACAATAATAAAGTATCTTCCAACATGATCCTTATAGAATAGGGTACTGCATGTCTAATTTTTAAAACTTATCCTGAATTTCAATAGATTCAGTAGTCTTCTCTTGAGACTAATGTATACAACAAGGTATTAGGAACTCATGATTTAAAGTACAAAATCAAACAGCTTACTTGAAATCTAGATGTTCAATGAGCACATATCCATCTATAGAAAGAAAAATCACCGTTAATTTGAAAGTTATAGAGAAAATGCTTTAAATTTTTTTTAAAAACAATGAAATGTTATGAAAAATAAGCAAATAAACTTACATTTGCCTTTAGAATTACGACATATCACTAGATTTTGTTCGGTGGTATCAATGACTTCCAGTTCTTCTCCAGGACTTATTGGCAAATCAAATATTCCATTTCTTGAATTATTGGAACAGGCCACTGCTGTGTTGATGACAATAATCTCTTTATTGTACTGAAATGAGAAATTACTAATCAGACCATTTTTGCATAGTTATTTTTCATAACAAAACTAATGGAGGATATAATATAGTAACCTCAAAATAAACTCCAGATACTATTGACTAGTTAAATAACACATATGGGAATAGAAAATAGGAAGGTATACAGTTAAAGGAAAGTCATTTAAGAAAATAATAGTAAAATGGTGCAATCTCACATTTGTTTGGTATGATTATATTTTCAAAGTATTTTCACAACCATTATTATTTTTTTCTCTCAAATCTTTTTCTTTTAATTATTATTTCTGGTTACGGGGTACATGTGCAGGATGTGCAGGTTTGTTACATAGGTAAATGTGTGCCATAGTGGTTTACTGCACCTATCAACCCATCACCTAGGTATTAAGCCCAGCATGCATTAACCATCCTTTCTAATACTCTCCCTCCCCATACCCTATCCCCAGACAGACCCCAGTGTGTGCACAACCATTACTTAATTGTACTAGAATGAGCCCTGCTGGATGAGGTTGTAACGTAGGTATGAATTAAGCACCATGGATGGTAGTTAACTGTTCCATTACTAAAACTTCTGTGTAGTGCCTTAAAGTTTATAATATTCTTACATACCTATCATTTCTAGATGACACTCTTTCCATGCTTTTTCTCTGTGTGAGCTTATGTATTCTTATATATAGCTATACTACATGTTATTTTAAAGTAGTGGGAATTGGCTGTACCCAGTTGGGGGCAATTCCCATTCTCCTTTTGTATTCACGGGCAGGCAGGCATTTTGTTAAAAACTCCTGAGAAATTCAAGTCCTGACCTTGGGAATCTTTTCCTGACATACTGACCTATACATCTGCAGCACATCACCTTCTAATGCACTGAAATCTGTTGACCACAGAGAGTTCCAGAATACATAGCTTAGATTACAGGTACCTACTTCTCCAAATTAGTGTGACCAAATATCTCCTTTTGCCCAGGATATTGTCTGTTTATAACTAATATGTCTAACTATTTATTATTATGATTAAGAGTTCCTCCTCCCACTCTTAGAAGTGTCCTGTGTTTGGATGATAAATTACAAGATCAACCTATAACAAATGAGATCAGATCTACAAGATAGATTTTTTCCTTTACTTAACAAAACAATCGCTTCCTTACTGGCTTTTTTATCCTTTACAGGTCATTGCTCACTGTGAATTCATAGTGATTTCTTAAAATACAGATCTAATTAGGTCACCTTTCTATTTATAAAGTTCTAAAAACTCCTTATTGCTTTCAGGATGAGATCCACACTGCTTAGCTTGACATTCGGGCTCCTTTGTATACTGCCATTCTTCATCCCTCTATCTTTGTCTTCTTTACTGAAGCTGCATCAAGCTACATGACAATCCTTGAATACATGCTGTTTACTTGAAATACTCTTCTTTCTCTTAACCACTTCACATGAAAACTGTTATGACTGCCATATATAATTTACTGTCTTTTAACTATACTTGATATCTATTCCTATTATATAATTTAATAAACATACTGTCTTATCAAGTGAAAATAGTAGACAGTCTTATTCATCTTTGTACCCTCAGTGCCTGGCACAAATGAGTTATCCAATGTTTTATGATTTGAGCTGGATAAAAATTATTGAAATGGCCTATCAAGGAAACACACTACAGGTAATAAGAATGGAATTATACACATATACAGGCAATGGAATATCTTTCCCACATGAAACAATCAAAAACACACGGAGAGGGAAAAAAGGATTGGATGGAACATAAGGGTCTTTTCAACAAGTGATTGCCTCATGGTTGTTTTTCAATTAATCAAATAACATCAAGGCTGTAGTAGATAATAACATATCACAATTTCTAGATATAGTAACCCTAATCAGCTTTGGTTCAAACAGGAATTATCAGTGATTATGAGAGATTTGTGTATATTCCTATTTTAGTTCAATTTAAAAAATATTTTATGCGTGTTTACAAAATGCTAAGCAACCTTATTCTGCTCTGCACATGGATATAAACATATATAAAATAACCTTTGTCCTCTAGGAGTTCATAGTTTAATATGATGAAAATGTAATTCCAATTTTGTTAATGTGTGATAAGCTAGAGATTGCTCAAGTATATAAGTAAACGGAAGAAGAGTAATTTATTTAATTAGAAGATTTGGGTAAGTCTTCCTGGAGAAGAGGAGATCCCTCGACTGGAGCTTGATAAATGAATAAGAGCCAGTCAGATGGAGAAAAGTTCAAAGGTGTACCAGATAGTTGGAATAGACCAAGGAAGCACTTAGAGGGATGAAATAGCAAGACAAAGATAGAGGTGGAGGTTCATTCAAGGGACAGAACTATGAGCAGTTTGTTGCCAAAGCAGAAAGTGCAACGCAAAGAGTGGCAAGAGATAAAGCCAGGAAGATATGCAAAGGTCAGGACATAAAGAGCTTTCTGTGTCATGTTAGGAAGCCTAAACTTTAAACATTTTGCAAGGGGGAATTTTTGAAAAATTTTAGGCTGTATAGTGACTTAGATAAATTTCATGAGGAGGATGCACACTTTGCCTCTCTCAATCCAGTGTCTAGCACATGGAAGGTGCTCAGTATGTTTCATAGTTAATAATCGTCACTTTGACAATATATGAAATCAGGGAAGGTTGAGCTTTAGAATAATGAAAAAATGTTCCATGGACTCTTAATAACAGAATAAGAAGGCAGAGAGCTTCGGATGCTGTGTCATTCATTTGTTCATGTTGTTATTCATTTGCCTGTTTATTTAGGCATTCATTTACCAAACACTGTCTGTACAGTTTTATGTCAGGCCCTGGGGAACAAACCTGAATGAGACAGGGTTTCTTTCTCAAAAAGCACTCAAGAGATTAATTAGTTTAAGATTCACACACACACACACACACACACACAAATGCTTTAATACAACAAATCAGTGTTATAAAAGACATGTGTAAAATAGATATACAAAATGTGCTGAAGGAGTAACAACCTGGACGAGATAGGGAGGAGTGGGTGACATTTGAACAGAGCCTTCAAGAACAACTTAGTAGTTTTTCCAGGAAGAAGGAATAGCATGTACAGACATAAAAATATAGAAATGTATCAGGAAAAAATAGGAATGAAATGCTGGCTTTTTGTGTCAAAGATAATGTCTGTATCTCAGAGAGGCAAAGGCACAGCATACTTACAGATTTTTTTTTAAATGAAAGCTCCAAGCTGTTAATATTGCTAATTTTTACCTTGAGAAGAGAACGTACCTTAAACCTTTCTCTAAATAGTTTTTCTTCTCTTTTCATTCTGTTCTTTTCTAAGTTTTGCTTCTTGGTTTTGAAGAAACTTCTAGGAGAGAAACTAGCAAGAAATGTGCAGGTAGGGTAAAATGTACTATAATAAAACTCTTAAGTTGCCGAGTCTACAAAGTCACTTCATTTCAGGACAAATTCAGGTATAGTTTTTTGTGTGCATAATTTTATATAAAATAATACATATGCAAAGTCATGCATCTGTATTTGTGTATATGTACACACACATATGTAGGTTCATAATACAAATACACACACATATTTCAATTAGAGCAAATTGTCAAACAAGTGATCAGGGTAATACCAATTGCTTTTCCCCACAATTAAAAAATATTTTTGATGGCAAGATAATAACGGGATAAAATCACATTGGTTAAACAAATGAAGGTACATAAGAAACTTGTCTGAATGAGACTTAGAGATATAACTTGTTTTTTTGTTTTGTGTTGTTTTTTTTTTTAATTTTAGGAAATTTACATATGTTCCCATTCACCTTCAGATTATTTAATGGAAACCAGTAAGAATGAGTAAGCAGTTTACTTTGTGTGGTTTTCTAAGTTGTTAAGCCTAATTGGAGATCACAAATCTACATGGTTCAATCGAAGAGCTCTCCAGTTTGCTGAATGTTTTGGAGGATGAATACCATTAAGAAAATAAAGAAAGATGCCACAAAACATGTGCAAGAATTTCAGCACATAAAAGTAAATAACGCTACAGAAGAAACTGATTATACTCTTAGTCCTCCCTCTTGCTCTTCACGTGAGATTTGTTTCTTCTATTTAGCAGTTTAATGTATTGACAGAAGTAAAAAAGTCAACCAAATCCTGTCAGTTTTATTCCATCAGCTGCCCATTTCCCTACACATTACAATGTCTACTTGGGTCATCTTAGAAAGTGGGTTATCCTTTTCATGCCGTTATACCTGAGATACCGCTATGGTTTGGATATTTGACTCCTCCAAACCTCATGTTGACATTTGAGCCCTAAGGTTGGAGGTGGGGCCTAATGGGAGATGTTTGTGTCATGGAGTTTTTTTCCCTCATGAATGGCTAGCTGCTGTCCTCTTGGTAATGAGTGAGTTACCACTGTCATAGTTTCCTGGAGCCTGGCATCTCATTTGTTAAAATGAGCCTGGTACCTCACTTGTCTCTCTTGCTTCCTTTCTAGCCCTGTGATCTCTGCACATTCTCCTTCACCTTCTGCCATGAGTGGAAGCAGCCTGAGGCCTTCACCAGAAGCAGATGCCAATGTCATGCTTCTTGTACAGTCTACAGAACCATGAGCTAAATAAACCTCTTTTATTTATAAATTTCCCAGCCTCCGGTGTTCCTTTATAGCAACACAAATAGGCTAAGACACATACCTTTGCTCAACTTCTCTTTAAACTTACCATTGTCTTTGATTGATAAAAGAATAATAAAAGAGTTGAACTAATATAGAAAACATTTCTTCCTTACTGGTAGAATATGTTATGGTCGAAATCATTTTAAAAAGTTCAAAGAGCACATAGAAATTGATACAGAAATAATTACCCTTACTGTAACATTTTCTAATTACTTGGTTCAAAATAAAAGTATACTGTTATATCACTCTGTTGTAAAAAAAATAAAAATAAAAAGGCACTGGAGGCCGGGCGCGGTGGCTCAAGCCTGTAATCCCAGCACTTTGGGAGGCCGAGACGGGCGGATCACGAGGTCAGGAGATCGAGACCATCCTGGCTGACACAGTGAAACCCCGTCTCTACTAAAAAATATGAAAACTTAGCCGGGCGAGGTGGCGGGCGCCTGTAGTCCCAGCTACTCGGGAGGCTGAGGCCGGAGAATGGCGTGAACCCGGGAGGCGGAGCTTGCAGTGAGCTGAGATCGGCCACTGCACTCCAGCCTGGGCGACAGAGCGAGACTCCGTCTCAAAAAAAAAAAAAAAAAAAAAAAAGGCACTGGAAAATTGTTTCCTAAGAAGCCTTATTTGTAGTTATCAACATACTAAAAAGCTTTCTGGGGGGCAGATCAAAAATGTTACTAATAGTTCCTCTCTTGGAATTCTGTTTTGTTATGCTGTGCAAATGTATGTAAAAGTATGAAGTTTAAGATAGAAAGTTTCTTTTCTAGTCTGTTAATACATCTTTCCAACCTGAGAAAAATAAATTACATCAAGTCTGAACCTAAAGAAAATAAACGTACGAGAAGGACCATCCAATGCCATCCTCTGAGTCTCAGACACTAATGTCTGGTTTCCTCTGGTGCACCCCAGTAGGACTTTTCTAACAGGTTTCCCAGAGCAGACAGACTACACAATGTTCACATCTCAGTGACTATTTAGACAAATATTTCCCCAAGTCATTTGTTAAAAAAGTACCTCATATCCTGCCTCATGTCCTAGCAATTGAGAAGATGAGATCAGAGAGCAGTAAGAAACCACCTGCCTCAGTAAAAACATCCTCTCACAACCGCTTGGGAACTTGAATCACATGAATGCAGGTTAGATCTTGACTCAGTAAAACATTTTAAACTTCTAACACTCATTATAGTCATAACTAGAATTATATTTTAGGGAAATCAGTGTCACTATATGATACCTGGTTTGTTTTTTTCTCAAAGTTACATTTAAGTTCTAATTGGTGTTTCATTTACATGATATCTTATTAGGGGAAGTTCTTACAACCTAAAAGAAGACTAGAAATTTGTCATTGTTTGAAAATGGTTAACTTGAAATCTTTTCTCACTTCCTATCCACCAAAAGCAGGGAGGAGGAAGATGAAGATACATGTGTATGACACTTAATATTTTTATATTCTTTGTCCCTTCTAATCCTCTCAGCTGTACTATGATGTAGATGTTGTCATTTTCATTTTGTAGATGAAAAAGCTGAGAATCAAATTTCATTACTTATCTAAAGCCACACAGCTGGTAAGAGGTGTAAATTGCTGCAGATAACCTATAATATAAGTGCCTCTGTGTTCCCACCTTTCTGATTCTTCAGCTCCGTTTTTCTCTTTTTTTTCCTTCGGTGTCAGAAACTTGGGTTTCCACATTTTCAGTTTATCTTCATCTCTGAGGAGAAATATATTTTGAGCAAGTAAATTAAGACTGACTTATACATTCGTGGAACCATCAACACTTCATAGGCAATTATGTTTTACAAAAAATTAAAAAGCCATCTAGAAATATATTTTGATAGTCCATGGAAAGGCCATATAGTAAATATTTTAGGCTTTGCAGCCATATTATCTCTACAGCAACTCTTCAACTCTACTGTTGCAACTTTATACACAGAAACAAGTGGCAGGCCATATTTGGTCCTCCGGCCATAGTTTGCTGACCTGTGATGTGTCATAATCCAAATTTGAAACCAGATGCAAGAGATCAGCCTGCTTATAATCACATTTCATCTCCTTTATAAGCCTCAGGGGTTTTTTTGGTCTCTAAAATGTGAATAATGTAACTGAACTCCATTGTGAAACAAGGCTAAGCCAACTAGCATGTAACATTAGTGATTCCAGGCAAAAGAAGATGCAGGGAAGGGAGAAGGTATTTATTATAGAAGGAACTAGTACTTTTTAGCATCTATGTGTCAGGTCTTATGCTAAGCATCTTACATATGTTAACTCATTTGGTTTTCAAAGTAAGTATTGCAACAATCCTTTAAACCAATCACTCAAAGTTTTACAAGCGAGGAAACGGATGAGCAGAGAGAATGAAATGGATGGTCATAGTGGTATGACCACTTTGGAAAACAAGTTGGCATTTTCATATGAATTTGCATTCCCTATAATTTGCATTTTTCCCCTTCTAAGTATATCTTCTAGAAAAATTCCCGCACACATTCACAGGAGCCATAAATAAAATCAGAATATCTGTGGCAATATTATTTATAAGGGCCCCAATAGTTACCAACAATTGAATAGATAAATGAATTATGGTATATACATATAATGGAATACTACAGAACATTAAAATGAATGAAAGGAAAAATGAAAGATTATATTTGAATAAAAAAGTTACAGAACTCTGTATACACTGTCTCATTTTCATGATGTTCAAATCCCAAAGGAAATAATATTTGTTTCATATGTTTGTTAAAACTATATTTATTTTGAACAAGGAAATGAAAACACCAAATTTATGAGAACAGTTACCTTGAGGGAAGGGATACATGGTGTGTACAAGGAAAAGAGGCCAAGGTATTGGTTATGTTCTAGTTCTTAAGTCGAATGATGGGTTCAGGGCAATTTGTTTTACCATGTTTTACCATGCTTTACAAATTTTATTTTGTTTTGATTTTTACAAATGATTTTTTAAGAAAAATAATTTATCCAGATTCACTGGTATGCACTTGTAGTTCCAGCTACTTGGGAGGCTGAGGTGAGAGGACTGCTTGAGGCAGGAGGTCAAAGTGCAGTGTGCTATGATCACGCCTGTGAATAACCACGCCTGTGAATAACCACTGCATTTCAACCTGGGCAACATAGCAAGACTCCATCTCAAACAAAAGATAAAAAGAACTTATTCTTTACCCTAATTTGATATTTCAGAGTTCTCTTCCATCTTATGCCAAATTACATTTCCTGCTTGTAACACCCCTTTCCTGATCATATACGCCTTATGGTCCAACAGAACTTTCCAAACACGTGTGTTTTCCATTTACAGTTGTCCACTCCACCCTCTTGCTCCTCCCTTTTCTCTCATCTTCTTTTGCTCCCAGTCTTCACCTGTCAAAATGTTACCTGTCTTTCCTGTTTCAGCTTGGCACAAAGATTTCTGATCACCTAAATAACAGTAATGTCAACCTATTCTGAGCTTCCAGATTATCTTGCACATTTTTATAGCAGGTCCTTCTTTGTTAACTAATTTATCAAATTATGTTTTGGTATCAGACACATGATACAGATATGAAAGTCACAGTCCCTACCTCAAAGAGTTCCCAGTCTAGCAGATAAGAAAATCAAGAAAACAGACCACTACAATTCTGAGAAAAATATCTTGATTAAAAAAAAAGGGAGTACCTAACTTAAATACATAAAGTTAGAGAGGGCTTCTTAGAAAAAGTAAAATCTGAATTCAATTTTAAATAATGAGGGATAAAATAGTCGGCAAAAAACATGGCAAAGTGTGTCACAGGTAGAACTATTCTTTTCTTCTTAAATTATCACCTTCTTGAAGAGGCTTTCCATAACTATCAATACTTTAAAACCCCTACCAGCACACACCCTATATCCACTGTCTTTCAAAATATCCTGTTTCAAAGCAACCAAATTCCAATGTGTAATTATAGACTAATGTTTTCATTTGTTTATTGATTTAGTCTCTCTATGCCCACAGGAGTAGGAATTATATATCTTTTGTTCACTGCTTTATACCCAACACCTAGCACAGTGCCTGGCACAAAGGACATGTTCAATAAATATTTGTTGAATGAATTGATGAAGTTGGAACAAATGTGAAGGTTTGGAAATGCTAGACAGCATATCCGGTCTAAGGAACTCCAAGTAGTACAGTATGGATGGAACACAGGAATAGTGGGTAAGCAGGAATAACAGGTGAGGCTAAGAGGTTGCCAGGGACTGGATTATGAATAAATTTTATGTTTTCCTAAGCAGTTTTGACTTCATTCTGAAAGTGATGGGTAACCACTAAACAGTTTTCAGCTGTTGGGTGGCAGGTGGTTACATTAGCACTTAAGAAAGTCTGGAGAATAAACAGAAATGGAGGTAAGATGGCCATTCAGGGAGTTGTAGTAATCTGGTTGAGAAACAAGACTGCATTGTGGCTGTGCAGTGGGGATGGGAAAAGTGGGAACAGTTTTGAGTTATTGGAAGAGAGTGAAGGGAAGGGAAAGGTACAAGAGAAGGAATAACAGATAACCTAGGGTTTCAGCCTGAGCAACTGTGTGTTTATTGAAATAGTCACCAACATAGAGATCAAAAGGACCAGATGTGGAGCTCCATCTTCAGTGGATCCAACACTGGAGCACCCAGATATATAAAACGAATATTATTAGGCCAAAAGGGAGAGATACACCTCAATACAATAATAGTTGGGAGACTTCAACATCTCACTCTAAGCAGATTATCCAGAAATAAAAACAGCAAACATCCTATTTAAACTGCACCATAGACCAAATGGACCTAACAGACATCTACAGAACTTAATACACATCTACAGAACATGTCACTCATGTTCTGTATAGTACACATTCTTTTCATTATCAATGGAACATTCTCCAGAACTGTTCATAAGTTAGGACACAAAACAAGTATCAACAGGTTTTTAAAAATCAAAATCATATCAAGTATCTCATCTGAGCACAGTACATTAAAACTAAACATCAATAACAACAGGAACATTTGAAACTATACAAATATATGGAAATTAAACAACATGCTCCTGAACAACCAATGGGTGAAGGGAGAAATTAAGGATAATACTTAGAAACACAACATACCAAACTTATAGAACACAGCAAAAACAATATTAAGAGACAAGTTTATAGTAATAAATGCCTACATCAAAAACGAGAAAGATTTCAAAAAACAATCTAATGATTTTTCTCAAAGAATTAGAAAAGGAAGAACAAACCAAATTCAAAGTTAGTAGAAGAAAAGAAATAATAAAGATAAGAGCTGACATAAACAAATTTAGATAAAAAATACAAAAGATCAATGAAACAGAAAGCTGGTGTTTTGAAAAGACACCAAACTGGCAAACCATTACCTAGACTAGACAGAGAGATGGGGTGAGAAGGAGAGGGGAAGGGAGGGAGGAAGGGAAGGGAGGGAGGAGGGGAGGTAAGGGGAGGGAAGAGGAAAGGGGAGGGAGAAGGAGAGGGGGAAAATTAAAGGGGAGGGGAAGGGGAAATGGGGAGAGGGAGGGAAGGGCAAGTTCAAGTAAATAAAGTCAGAAGTGAAAAAAAGAGACATCACTTAGAGACCACTGTGAGCAACTATCTGATAACAAATGGGAAAACCTGGAGGAAATAGCTAAATTCATGGAAATATACAATCTACTGAAATTGAACCAAGAAAAATTTAGAAAACTTGAAAAGACCAATAAAAGTAATGAGATTGCATCAGTAATAAAGAATCTCTCAAAAAAGAAAAGTCTAGGACTGGATGGCGTCCCTGCTGAATTCTACTGAACCTTTAAAAAAGAATTAATACCAAATCTTCTCAAACTATTCCAAAACACTGAAGCAGAATGAACTCTTCCTAACTCATTCTATGAGGCCAGCATAACCCTGATACCAAAAGCAGACAAGGATACAAAAAAGAAAAGAAAAGAAAATTACAGGTTGATACCTTGATGAACATAGACACAAAAATCTTCAACAAAATATTAGCAAACTCAATACAACAGCACATCAAAAAGATAATACACCATGATGTAGTGTGATACACCCCAGAAATGCAAGAACATGTTAGTGGGATGTATCCCTGAGCCCAGGAGGTCAAGGCTGCAGTGAATCGTGATCATGCCACCACTGTACTCCAGCCTCAGGGACAGAGTAAGACCCTGTTTCAAAAAACAAACAAACAAAAAACTGACTCCCAGGGCATCCTCCCTGCACACAACCAGGCTGCTGTCCCTCTGTAACCTCACACACTGACCCCTGGGCTCACTTGGTGAGCACATCCCCAGAGAGAGGGTAGGTGGCAGGAAAGAGCACTGGCTTGGGGGCAGGCCACCCAGATCTCGGACCTACCTCTGTACTAAATTGCGTGGACAAGTTAGTTACCCTTAGCCTCGATGTTCTCATGTGAAACAATTTAAAATATTCTTTTACATTATAAAAATAGAGATGGGGTCCCACTATGCTGCCCAGACTGATCTCAAACTCTTGAGCTCAAGCGATCCTCCCACTTCTGCCTCCCAAAGAGTTGGGTTTACAGGTATGAGCCACTGCACCTGGCCAACTGGGAAATATTCTAATCTATCATGGAGGGTTGCTGTGATAGAAAGGGAAGTATCAGGCTGGGAAGATTTCAGCTCAGCTCATGAATCACTAGCTTCATCTTGTGAAGCCAGAAATTCTCTAGCCATCACCCCCTCCATGG